AAAGCTAAAAAAAAAAAGAAAAAAAAAATACACACAACCACGACACCACGGCGAAACTAACGAACTAAACGGCGAAACTAACGAACTAAACGAGAACCAAAACAAAGCCCTCACAACTCACCCAATTTGTGGTATTTTCTTATTAGTCAAGAACATAATTTATAACACAAAATCCAAGATCATTCGTACATCCCACGATAAATAAATTTTCCATTACCAAACACGATGAGGAACTTATGTATGTACATTAACCTGAATATCCAAGTAAGACCACATACTATATAATAAAAAAAACCTCCACATATACACAATCCACTGTACCTCAGTCTGAGAAAACCCAATATACACGGAACATGACTGAAAAAAACACATCACACACACTCAATCCTCCTCGAGCACATACTCACTATTCACACGAGTCTCCACGTCCCACAAAAAGGATCCAAAAGCAACAGCTTCCAACAAAAATCTCTTGACACTGGCAAACGATGTCTTAATAACATCCGCCTCCTCATCACCAAACAGGGCACGACTATGTCTCCCCACAAGGCTTACCGACTCCTTAAACCTCGGATTCGCACACATCCCGATCATTTCCACATCAAATCCCATCATGTAAATCCTCAAATTACCCACATTTTTACCCAGATCGCAGGGCAATCGGGCACCAGATGAAAATCCTGTGGGACCCATGTTGTATGCAATCTGCTTGGACCCGATGGAGAACATCTCCGAAACCTGGGTCCAGGTGCCAAATCCTAGGTATGAGCTGCTGACATCCAAATCTCGTTCAAGATAGTGCCTGAAAGCAATGGACTTCAAAAGGTATCCGTAGAAAATGGAGGACGCGTACAACTTGCAGAGATGGGACCTATGTACCTCGGCTGTTGCCCAACTGGCAGTGACATTAGCATCTGCTCGCTGCCCAACCGCAGCCGTTATGTGGTCTCGCACCATTTGCAGAACCTCACAGCTGTGGATGGATTCGAGTTCCCAGTCCTTTGAGGGCCATATCTCTAGACGGCCATTGTAGAGGCATTCCGATAGCTTGGGAACCAAATGAACCCTTATTTCGGAAAATTTGTGGAGGATGAGTGTGTAGATTACGTCCTCGACTGCTTCCTGGCACTCATGCTTCTTGCACTCAGCAATCCTCCTGCATTCGTTTGACACGGGTCTTAAGCTAAAAGTATGAAAAGTCAAGAAATCTCATATAAATTAAATAAACATTACCACGGATTTTTCTTGGTTGGCCTAGAAGTTAGCTATTTCAACTTTCAAGAAGTGGTCATTTTAGGAAATCTTATGTCTCTGCTCCCCTCCATACAAGTTGAAACTTGTGTACTTCCATATTGAGGCAATAAATGCCCAATTTAATCGCACAATCATCTTGTGGACACCATAATGCAGATGCCACAATGCATGGGGGGGGAAAATATTTGTTGGTGGGCCCACGGAAACGAACGGGTGGCTGTACTAGTACACCTTCCCTCCAGCAATTTCTGTTCTTGAGGAACTGATGCACTAGTACACCCTTCGGCCAGTGTTGTACGTTAAGGAGTTATGCACTTATCCTAAAACGGGCCCATCCAGTTTGTAAAATGAAATACATAGCAAAAAGATATCCAGGGTGCAAAATAAATGTCGAAGCAACAAATAATGAGCAGGCATGACATACCGTTACTAAATTTATTTTAGCTCATTACAAAGAGGCGTATCATAATAGAGATATCTAATTTTTGTCACTTAATTATGATTGACGCTCATCTGGAATGACTTGGTAATTAAGAGTATTAGAATCCTACCTCAATTTACTACTTTAAATGTCTATCACTCGAGAAAGACAGTTCAAGATGTATTATTTAAGTCCCAATGATATCAGCGTACTTGAGCATATATGCCCTTGATTTCAAATGCTTAAAACTCTATTCATTATTCCACACACTATAGGTAAAACAATGTAGTCAAGTTGAACCGGACAAGGGAAATGTGAATAGCAGCATATTACTACATAAAACAAGCTAAGAAAAATTTCAGCCCCTGTTAATCAAAATACAATTGATGCAAACCAAAAACAAACATAAAAAAAAAAAGTAAAAGATTATCTTCACAGTTTTTTCGCCTTTTTACTATTGTTTCCATCGAAAACCAAAACACCCTTGATACAAATTTATGCTTTGAAAGTTAATCTGTATTTCTCTCTTCCACTGACTCCTTTTGTTTCTGCAAATAAAATTTGTATTACAAAATATCAACACCCCCTACACATATATATACCAGAATAATTGATAGCTTTATCTAATATCATGTATGTTATGCATCTAAAATTCAGTATAAAATTGGAGCGGCTAGCTATTACAAAAATTTCAAGCATTCCTTTCCAAGTATACAAGTAAATCTTTAACTCGTAACACGGTAAAGGGATTAGCAAAATAAGAAAGGTAAAAAAAGGGAATAGCCCACTAGCAACCGACCTGTGCAGGCAAGCTTCGTCCGAACCAATGCTGAGCTGCAACCGAGTCGCCGCTTCATCCCGTTCAGCCGCAAGCCGCTGTAACTCCTTCCTGGCCGCAGCCTGAAATCCATCGCGACCATCCAACAACATGCCGCTCAGGAACCTCCCGGTCGGCGTTCTCGGCTCGAGAGGCGCTGCCAAGCCCCCAAACTGACACCTGCTAGATGCTACAATTGGCAACGGCCTCCGGTTGAAGCGATTCTGGAAAGCGATTGGGCCGCGGATAGAGCCGACGGGCAAGGTTGGGAATTTGGGTTTGAAGTAGGAAAAGCAGCAGTCCATTAAACAAATTCGGTTCGCCTCCTCAACTGAATGATTGGTCTGACTGATAATAAGGGTTTTGGGGATGAGATGACTATTTTTCAAAGTGACCAGTGGTTGACTGGCAACAAATTCAAAGTCTTGCCTATTCCTCCTGCGTCTAGTGTCGTGTATAAAAAGGGGAGAAGAAATATCATGATTCACGGGGCATCTAAGAAATAACTAGGTACTAAAAGTACTCGTGTAAAGAGAAAAGAACAAAGAGGATAAGATAGAGAGATATTTAAGTGGCCGTAGCAATTATGGGAGGAGATAAGTGGGGCCACTATTCTTTTTATAATATGTTTATATAATCTGCAAATCAT